CTTAATGGAGTACCCTCATTTCTTATTGAATTCCTAAAAAACAATATTTATAATGAATTTTAATAATTTTTTTGGATTTTTTTTAAGTTTTATTATGACCGATTCACCCGATTCCAGATCCGGATCGCCGATTCGCCGATCCGGATCGGTTTTTTGGGTGCCCGATCCGGGTCACTGATCCTTTTTTTAAACCATTGGTTTTGTCCAAAGGAATAGATGGGTAGTGTACTCCTATGAAAGTAGTAAATTTGTTGGGTATTTTATTGGTTTATCTCATCTGAAGGATAATGTTGTTGGAAATATGGCTTATCAGGCCTTTTTATCCCGGGAATTTATTTATCAATAATAGTACAAAAGCCATATTGTATAGTATATGTGAAATCCCATACGGTTGACATGAGGCAATGCCATATACTAGGATCCATTTTGGAGCTTTATAGGATGTTGCACTGGACGAAAAAGTGTCACCGGAGGGAAAACCCAGTGATGTGTTTGGATTCTTTGTATGAATTATTATTTTTATATTATAGATGTATAAAATTATTTAATTTTTAAATATCTTTTATCAAGTTGTAGGAATGCTTGGATGACATCCTATTATGAGAGTCATTAGTGCACTAATAACAGGTTTAGCTCATTGCATAGGATTAACAGTTTGGTAACAACTTGTTAATCCTAATTGGCTGTACTTAAGGAAATTAAAGAAGGACTTATACTTGGATCTCAACTCCTATAGACCATAAATGTGATTACAAAGTATGATTATCTATAAATAGAGGTTAACCCCTCAAGTAGAAAAATAGAGAATGATAGAAAAGAGGTGAAGGAGATTCACCAAGAGGACTCTCAAGGTAGCCTGTCACCGGATGGCTTGGTCTATAGGATTTGGTATGGAACCTTAGGTCCCTCGTGTGATTTAAGGACAGATCGAGTAAGTTATTTATCGTTTTTAATTTTATTTATTTATTATTATTTTCATTAGGACTAATAATGATATTAGAGCGAGGTTTTCTAGCACGTGTTGACTTCAACAGAGGGCTATAATGTGGGCTTTCCATCCCATCACATGCTGGTGTTTCAAGAAATGCATGGAAAATTCTTTCTATTTTTCTTGCTATAGTTGTCAGCATAATCACACAACCATTGCATCTTGACGTTGTGGCCCTTTTAGGGCTTGGAGTCACTGTTCTCACCAAAACTCTGACTTACGGTGCTGCTTTCTCAGCCTTTGGTGATCCAATTCCATGGCTAATTGCTTTGGCTTTCTTCTTTGCCAGAGGATTCATCACAACGGGGTTGGGAAACAGAATAGCTTACCAATTTGTCTCTCTTTTTTTGGAAATTCATCTCTAGGTCACAGCCTGGTTTTTAACGAAGCTCTTTTAGCTCTTGGTATCCCCTCTGTCTCAGCTAGAGTAGGAGGTATATTCTTACCAATTGTGATGTCTCTCTATGTAGCT